GACTCAGAGAATACCCCTATTATATTTTCGGCGTTTAGGTATTTCATTGTACCAGTTGGCTCTATTAAAAAAAATACCTTTATAACCCTGATAGTAGATATCCTTACGCAGTAGACTGTGGGTCAATGAGCTGTTCCTCCGCCCATTCCTGGCAAATGCATGTCCGACGAGTTGGCAGGTAAATGAGTGCAAATGTTCGTGGTCAAATCTGCTCTAGACGTGGGCATACTCCAACCTCCTGCAAACACATATCAAATGCTGAACTCATTGAGCGTGTGGAAGCCACCCATTCAGAATGCCAGCCGAATTTGTTCAAAGTTTGGTGTAAACGGAAATGGATGGACCCACAGCCTACACTCTAAGGGCATACATGGAAAGAAGCTGGGATACCGCATATAGAGGACGAATGTCCAGAAGTGCCACGAAACCATGTTGGCTGTTGTTGTCATCGCAGGAGTGATGCCACGCAGGCTCGTCATCCTAATTCGCTGAGCTCGGCTTTACTACTGTCTTCATTCCACTAGGCAGGCGCAACAAGGGCTTGGAAATGGTTTCGTACAAATAATTTCGCCCCTTACAGATGCATTTGCATAATTTTGTGTGTGTGCATATAATTTTTTTTTCTAATTTTTCAGATGAAGTTTACTATGCCAACCTTTTTGACCTTAACGTGTTTAGTCCGTTTCGACTGCACCATTTGGCAAAAAAAATAATAATTTTCTCTAAGAATTTTATCTTCAGTATATCTGTCTACATTTTCATCTATGATTTTGATGCGAAGTGACGTAAGGTGAGTGGTGACTTTACTTTGTCTGCTATTTCTCCCCGCCTGCATTTACTATGCAAATAAAATTATTTGCTAATACTTGACAAAAATCATCAGCAAAAATATAGTTTCAACAAGCAAAACAAAACACTTAAATTCGATATTTTCGCACATGAAGGAGCAATGTGTGTAGATGAGTTGAAAATATTGAAAAAATCCGCAGTGAGTGGCTCACGCACGGATGGCGAAGGCAGTCTCTAACGCATAGCCCGTTTTCTAGTACCAAAAAAAAAAATCCAGTAATAGAAGAACAAATGAAAATTTTAAAAATGCTTGAATATTCGCATCAAAATTCATGAGTATCGTTCTGCAGCAGGCATACATATGTTCGTATGTATGTTTGCGTGTATATGTATGTTTTTTGGGCAAAATGCGCGCGTTACTCATACGCCTAGTCTCGTCGATTCGCTCAGGCGGAAATGAATATTATTACTTCAGCATCAAGTCTCAATGGAACTGGCGTGTGACAAGCAGCAGTAGTTTGGTAAAAAGCAAGCGGCCGTGATGCCTTTGCAAGTATGTTGTATGTATACCTACATACAAACATACGTATGGCGGTGCATGGTCCTATATATGTACATACATTCTTAGGCATCACATCAGTTTCACAAACCGCAACTGTGAGTAAGCAGACAGGGACGATACATCTCGTTGGGATGCTTATAACAAATTCAATCGTGCACACACATAGACAATTTTTAAAAACAACAAGGGCTTCTATATATAAATACCTAACGTTTCACACCTACCTTCTTAGCTGCGCCTTTATAGCAGCGAGTGATAGCCTAACAAGAATGCCAGCACATTCACAATTCTAAGGATGTCTTCGAGTTTTCGCAAGCATATGGTTCAATGTTATTTTACTGTATCTGGCATATATTTATATGTATGTATGTAATTTAATATTTGTGGATGAAAGCTTAATGATTTTGTTTGCTTTATGTTGTACGAGTAGGCGCGTCATGGCAATTCTGTGGCAACCAAGTGAAGCGCAAATAGAAATCGAAGCAGCAGCCGCAAGCTTTGTGACGCCTAGAAAATCTTCAATGCTAGCTGCTCTGGATTACAGCTACGACAAATGAGGTTTTTATGAAGTGTCAAAATATACTTGCCGGGCTACTGCTGGAAAATATAATGGTATCAAGATCAAAGCGTTACCTATGCCTTTGTCTAGTTTTTAACAGGAAGAGAATATCGTGAAGCGAATTTAATATTTCTTAGTTCTCTACGGAAAGGAAACTAAAAAGGAATTCACCATTTGAACAAAAGCAAACCAGGCAATTACAACAGTAAGGGAGGACATTTAATTGCGAAAACTCTCACAAGAATAACAGAAAATTCAATGCACATGTTTGAGAAGAGACTTTTTTCGCGAGGTCTTCTTTAGGCCCTGTACGTTGTGAGCGATCTGCTTAGGCATTTAACAACAACAGCGATAATTCGGCGCATGGCGAAGGCAACAGTTATTCAAATACAAGGCAAGGAAAAAGTTCAGTCACAGAGCTAGTCGCATTGCCCATGCTGCGCGAATGCCGACGCAAGAGTAGAGCTTTGGTATAGTCGAGCAACTGTAGGTGCATACCCAAAAGCGCTAATATAGCAAATCTCTCATCACACCTGTAAATATTTTACCGAATTGAGTACTTGGAATGGATTTAAAAAAAAACACAGTCTAAGGCTGCGTTTCACCTGATTCATTTAGTGCCCATTATTTTAATTTTTGAATTTTCGGTTTCACCAATCAATTTTAATTTGTTCTTAATTTCGATTTAAGTGACCTATGCTCTTCATTCAAATACAAATTTAATCAGAATACACAAAAATGCAATATTATCGAGTTTACCGAAACTGTAAAAAAAAATTTATTGAGCATTAAAAAAAAATGTATAAATCGCTGCCTAAGCGCGAACAAAAAAAAAATATTACTATTTCTTCAAAAATCGTAATTTTTTTTAATTTTTCTTGGTGACAGATCTTTAATATTGTACAAATAATTTTGATGTCGCCGCATACGATTCTGATGATAGAATCGCAAAATTCAAAGTGTCCGATTAGAAATATATATTTTTTTTTTAATTAAGGCTCAGACAATATTTTCTGAAATCCATCCCAGGTATAAAAACAAAAATTATAGTCATTGGTTATAAGTTGACTGCTTCAAATTTTTTGAGCAGAATCTGGCAAACATTTTCCATTGGGCGCCGGTTTGGACGTCTCCAACTTAAAAGACCCTTTGAGCAAATGCGCCCACGTGCACAATGTAAGAACCAAGTGCAGAAACACGAAGGAAAGAAGCAGAATCGGCAATGATTTCTGTTTTCGGAAGTCGTCGCAACTGAATAGCTCTAATTCAGTCATAAGGCCATTCTTCTGTGGACCCATTATGCTGTGGGTTTTGTAGTAGGATAAGCTCACAAACAAACCATTTCTAAGCTACATGCAAAAAAGATAGGTACGAGTATTCTATACAAATTAGAAACATTTATTGGCAAAGGAATTCACTAAAGGCCGTGTCACACGGTTGGCACATTTGTACATCTTTTTTCCATTGGGCTATTGGGACAAAATACAGCCACTGATATTTTTTTACAAATTTTCTGTAGTGATTGGGTTAAAAAAATATTGGCGCCTTCACATATTTGGGATATGATATGCCCAAATTTTGGGCAAATGCCTAATCGCAAATGCAAACCGCAAGATAAGTATATTAAAGTAATACTACATTTATTGGAAACTTGAAAATTGTCAAGGTAAAATCAATTGAGAATGCAAATAATGTTTATTTTAAGTTTTTAAACCGTAATAATTATACTTGTATACTTTGGCTATTTAGTGACGCACAGCAAATTTCTTAGAATCGACAAAGTTTCAATGGACATTTAAAAGTTAATAAATTAAATTAAATATTGACTATGATGAATAACAATTCAAAGCAAACCACCAGCATTGTGTTCAATGGAATTTGCGTACATACATAATAGGGTGGTGTTTAAAATATCAACATCTAAAATTTGTATAAATATAACCAAGGCGAATTTATATAAGGTGGTGTTACTAGCTCAGCTGATTTTGTGTATGTGTTTCGCCGCACGGCTTCTGATATCAAATTGAAAAATTTTGTTTGAATTTCTACACACACTCTTACAGATTTTGACAGTTTATGCCGCCAAAGCAAAAACAAAATACATGTAAATTTTTGTTTTTGTACTCCTGCTATCACCTTATATTAATTCGCCTTGAATATAACCAAGAAAATTTAAAAATTTTAGCAAGTTTTTGGGGTCGTTAGCAGTGTTTGAAAAAACTTGAGTTTTTTTTATCTCAAAAATTCGAAAAAAATGCGGCTTCAATTCTGATAAATTTGGCACATATATGCATACATATGTATGTATATCGTCCCTCTTATGTCAGAAGCATGAATATGTAAATTTACCAATTTTGAGTTAAGGGGTATGTAAATTCAAAAACTCTGAGTTATAGCTGGTGAAAGTCAAAATTCTGTCGAATTTTTGCGATTAAAAAAAAATACATTTTTCAAAATTTTTTAAATTTTGAAATTTTCGTGGTTGTTTTTATTTTAAACGTAGAACAATTTAAAGGGATACCCCATGCAAAATATATATGTTGATATTTTTACGCACCACCCTAATATGTATGTATTTATGTATAGCAGTAAATTAGTAAGAAAGCTTAACAATAATGAAATGACGGAAATAATATCCAAGCCACTGAGAGCGTGTAAATGATGCTGAGTGTTGGAGGTGGATTGAAGAGGTTGCAAGTGTCAGTGGAATGAGTTCAGTGAATGTCGGAAATTAGTATTGTATCAATTTACTTAAATAGTTGGATGGCGAAGAGCAAAAAAAATGAAACAGAATAGCGACAGCGGAACATTTCTGCTGCTAGGCCACGATAATAACTCGTTCGCAGCTAAATGACTTTGATATTTGCGAGTGCGTAAATATCTAAGATGGATGCTGTGTCTCTGCTTGCATGCATTGGCTAAGAATATGCTGCTGGTCATCCTCAGCTGCGAAAGCATTCAATCTCCGGTTGGTTTCAAATTTCAAGCCTTCATTAGTCAGCTGTTTTACTACTTTATTTTTAGTGTACTTTTGCTTTAATTACTAGCATTTTTCTTAAAATTTCCTTCTTTTTTTGTTTTTGCAGCTGATATCAAACTTCTTGCACGCAAACTTTCACACTTGGATCCGTTGACGCTGAAAGTGCCGCTCAAAGATGTTGTCTGCTATTTATCATTGCTGGAAGCTGGACGACCGGAAGATAAGCTCGAATGTAAGTAGTTGAGAATCTTTAGTTATGAGCGCAGAGAAATGAAGTGAAGCACACCAATAACTATACAAAAGTCTAAATTTATACAAAAACTCAGCAAAGTGGAAACAACTATAAATGGGTGAAGAAGAGTAAGAAATTTATAGCTTCTAGTTAATGTATGTAGTTAATAGAAAACAAAATTTAAGTTAATTCGTGTAAGCCGATCATACTTCCACCCGGACACATATCTCCTCTATTTTCAATTCCCTCTGTGAGTATGGGCGAATGCTCACTCCCCTAAGGGGAGGTTTAACCAAAGTGTCAATATATTAACACTTACTGTTCATAATAAAATATGATAAACTGCTGGCGTACTTTATAGAACTGGGCTTAAAGAGTTTAGACGGTTACAGCGCCAATCATGAAGGAGAAAAATGAGATAAAAGACGAAAAAGTCATATGGTTGCAAACTCTTTACCTCTGCCAACCTGCTGAAGAATCGAGATACTCCACCCTGCAACAAAACTGTAGATAGCGGATATTTAAAAATCAAGAACTTGACATAGCCAACGGCATTGACAATCAGCCAGTTCTGTGAATGATCAATTTTTCGCTGTCGATCAGCAAGCCGCTGCGTTGTTAGCCTCGAACTCTACCTGGGGACTACCGAGAGTTTCTAAGTGAAATCCGAGTCCAGTGAGGGCTAATAGATTCCTCTGCATAAGTTTTTAAGAATTGAACCGGGCTCTTATAGCCACTTCTGACTTTCAAAGATCGGTTTAGCTCATTTTTTGTCTCCTTTCTCTGGCACGCTGCCGCAGATGTGTGATGCTAGGATTGTTGTCCGAGCGACAACATAGGCAGTAACATCGATCTTGCTAGCCTGGTACGGCAAAGTGTGGTCTATAGTGAAGTACCGAAGTTTGGTTCCAGTAACCCGATCATCGTCGGTCTCCAGCTTGAACCACCTCTTACATGGGTACGCTCACTTAGCAACAAGAGTTAGGAGAATCTAATACCTGGCTGCTCTCATTTCTGAGCGTATGTAGAAAACTTTTAGTCTAACCCCAAAGGAAAGGGGAGTCCATTATTGGTGTATCAAACCTACGTCGTTTGAAGTGAAACTTTTTTGAGGTCGGTTGGGAGTAAATGCAAACATCGATGTAACGAAAGAGCAACACAATTGTTCGGCTCTAACTTTAGGCTGCAATGCGAAGAAGCGACGGAAGAAGGGAGCGAATGGCGGCGGTGGTTGGGCACGATTAGGATTAAGAATAAGATTAATATTAAGACTAAAATTTAGATAAGATTAACATTTAGATTGAGATTAAAGCTGAGGTTGTAGCTTAGATTGAAATCGGCATTGCGATTGCGATTGCGATTAAGATAAATATTAAGATTGAGTTTAAGATTAAGATTAAATATAAGATTAAGACTAAGATTAAGATTAAGTTAAGATTGAGGGTAAGATTTCGATTGAGATTCGGATTTGGACTAGGATTAAGATTAAGGTTAAGATTAAAATTCGGATTTGGATTAAGAATAAGATTAAGGTTAACATAAAGATTTAGGATCAAGTGTTAAGGATTTAGTTTGAGATTAAGATTAATACTAAAGTTAAAATTAAAACTAATATTAAGATTAAACCTAGGTTAAGATTAAAATTAAGGATTAAGAGTTGAGATTTAAGAATTATGATAACGATTAATATTAAGATTAAGGATTAATATTAAGATAAGATTGAATTAAGATTAAGTTAAGATTAAGGTTATGATGAAGATTAAGATAAGGGATTAAGAGTTAAGAAATAAGAAATAAGAATTACGATAAAAATTAAGATTAAGTTTAGATTATGTTTAAGATTACGACTACTGGTGGCCGTTGTGGTGTAGTAGTTAGCAGTGCGCGCTACCATTCCGCGGGGATTAAGCTCAAGATTAAGATTAAGTTTAAGATAAAAATTAAGTTAAAGTTTAAAATTAAGACTAAGATTAAAATTGAGATTGAGATTAAAGTTGAGATTTATGTTGTGTTCGAGATTCATATTCGGATTAAGATTAGGATTCCCCTAATGCCTCGCTAATTTATGAAATTCCAACAGTTGTTCGTACAAAATGCAGCCGGATCCCTTGGAGTTGGTGCCAAGAGCTTGTTCCTCTCTCACGGATGCTAAGTTGAGGTCTCGCAGTGGCATAATCTTCTTGCTTCCGTCATGTACAACCTGGCGATCCTCACATTTCTAAGCTTTTGACTATGTCAATCTCGTTAAAAAGCCTATAAATTTTGCCATTCCATATCTTCTTTAGATCAGTAGTGGAGTTTTGCTTTCGAAAACCTACAAAGGCTTCTAATTTTAGTTCAACATTGTCCATAATTATGTGCCACATAAGGTGAAAGATATAATGCGAAATTCCCAGATCGTGACCTCAGGACCCTTAAAGTCCTTTTTTCTAGTAATAATAATAATACTTTGCCTTTCGCATTTTTCTTGTATAAAATAAGTGCAGAACTTTTACAAGTAAGGGTAACTTTCTACAGGAAGAGAGACTTCAACTTAGCTACACATCAAGCTTATAGCTGCAACTCCTGCGTTTATTAACTGAAACTAAAATAAAAGCGAGTTCTAAAGTTCATAGACAAATAAGCAGCAAGTCTAACAATTTCTTGCACACTAGCAACTAAACACAAACAAAAAAAGTATACATCTAACAACAACAACTAAACTAAGCAGGAACGATAAATTACACTGAGTCAAGCTCATAAACTTGCCACTACATGCCTGCAAGCAAGCAAGCTAAGCTAAGTGGCATGTGGGAGGTATTTGTGTACATATGTATTAAATGCAAATAGTGACTTATTTCAAGTAGTAAGCTGACATTTTTGAAGCATAAATTTTGTTTAAAATACGGCTAGTAGTTTAATGTAGCCAACTACTTACATTCGTTCATTTGGTTTTACTTTCGCAAAGAAATAAAAGTAGCAACCAAGGCGTCAGCGCCAGAATGCGTTGTTTTATATTCTTAAATAATATCGCTGTGCTGTAAATCTCATTCAGATTTAAGTGAGCGCAATCTTCCACTTTGCTTGCTACTAAAATGTTGATAATAACGGCATTTGAATGGCTTCGTTAGCTCCAACTACAGTAGAAGTGCAGCATTATTTAAATTATATGATTTTTCTTCTACGCTACCACGTTGCTCATTCCGCCTCTCTTTTTCATCTATGTATGTACGTAGTCATGTTTCGATTGTACGATACCGATGGCAATGGCGTCCTGGATACCGCCGAAATGGATGCGATTGTTAATCAAATGATGGCTGTTGCCGAATATCTTGGCTGGGATGTTAGCGAATTGCGACCGGTAAGTAAAAGTTGATTTAACTGTAAATACGCATATATGTACAATGAAACAAAACACCAAAGAAAACGCAGAAATCCCCTCATAAAGGATGTCATAGTGGTGGGTCTGCTTCTCGCCAGAGTAGGTGCGTGTAAAGTGTACTACGGTGACAACGTCTACTTCATTTTCTTTGTTGCTTGGCAGCTGCGTGTATTTGTCTTTGCACAGTTTTCTTTTTCCTCTTTGTTTTTTTTTTTTTTGTTTATGCGCGTTGTAGCCAGCGTTGCCGTTTTGATACAATTGTATCATTTTTGATACTTTTCTTTTAAAATTTTGTTATTTGATACTTTGATACTATTTTATTCACAAATGCCAAATTTTGTTTTTTTTTTGTTTATGCGAATTGTAGCCAGCGTTGCTGTTTTGATAAAATTGTATCATTGTTTGATACTTTTCTTTTAAAATTTTGTTATTTGAAACTTTGATACTATTTTATTCACAAATGCCAAATTTTGATACTTATAAAAATATTTTTGAATTCGCTTAAGAAATATTGGATTTACCTCACAACCACGGCGAATTTATACGAGGTGCTGTTACTGGCGAATTTAGATTTTCGCCGCGGTCCTTCTGAATGTCAAAATTACGTGTTTGTTGTAATATGAATTCGCCTTGTCTACAACAAACACATCGTTTTGACATTCATAAGGACCGCGGCGAAAGTCTAAATTCGCCAGTAACACCACCTAGTATAAACTCGCCTTGCTTCCAACTTTACTACAACTGAAACGTTTTTGAACCGACTTCCAAATAAATAATATAAAAAAAACTTTTTAATATACCACGCTTTTATAAATGGACTAAAAAGTAGAAAATAATACTTCTCAGTC